ATTGACACCAGATTAGGTGACTACCACACCTTCCTTCTGTATACCTCTTTTCCCATCTTTAAAATGGCAATGATAGTCATAGTGACTCATGGGTTATTTTTGTGGTTTAAATGAGTTAATACAGTGAAGCATTCCCAGAGTGAGCACCTGGAACCTAGCAAATGCCCACGAAGGGATGGTTGGTTGGATTGCTCTGATTTTCATTTGAATACGATGCTAATTCTGGCATTCAAGAATTGAAGGCGGCTCATCAGAAAGCACTCATAAAGGTCAACAAACAGACTTGGAACTGTTTGTAGGCTTTTTGTTTTGTTTTTTTCATGTCTTTCGAAATAAGATAGGCTGGATAGGCAATCCTGAGGAGAAAAAATGGGACCATGGTTTCTGGGGAACATGGGAGATGGAGAGGCAGCGGAGTAGGGGCTTGGGGGTCGGGGAGGAAACGGGAGCCAACAGATGCAGGCGCAAGAGAACAACAAGTGATCTATATTCTAGGGCAAGGAGAGCACAGGATGCCTAGTGGAGCATGATCAAATGCAATGTAGCCAAGAGAAACTGCTGGGAGCCGAATGAAAGTCGAACATGATAGTGGGACAGGAGGAAAAAGAGGAAAGAACTAGGAGGCAAAGGACATTTATAGAGGTATAAATACAGGCATATACATATGTAAATGTATTTATATGTAATGATAGGAACATAGTTCTATGTACATATATGTCAAGTAATATGGTAGCTGTTGGACATTGGGCCTCTACTTAAGTACTTCCTTAGCGCACTAACACTTTGTTCTAATAATCTGGTATTCTGTGATGCTTACCTTCCCAACACCATCATTGAAGACAAAATGGGTGAATAAGCAAATGTGGTGAAGAAAGCTGATGGTGCCCAGCTATCAAAAGATATAGTATTTGGGGTCTTAATAGCTTGAAGATAATCAAGAAGCAACAAAGCCCACATGGAAGAAGCACACCAGCCTGTGTGATCAGGAAGTGTTGATGGGCATCAGATGACCCAGAACAATCATATCGATGCAAACAAGGTGAAGGTGCGGAGTAGAAACCCAACGCCATCTCTAGACAATTGGATATCCCCTCACAGAAGGGTCACAAGGAAGGGATGAGCCAGCCAGGGTGTGGTATAGCACCGATGGAACATATAACATTTTTCTAGTTCTTCAATGATAACCTGAGGGTAGTGGGAAGGTGAGGGAAGAAATGGGGAACCGATCATAATGATCAACGTACAGACGCTGCCCCCCAAGGGGGACAAACAACAGTAACATGGGTGAAGGGAGACAGTGGTCAGAATGAGATACGAAGATAATAACAATTTATAAATTATCAAGGCTTCATGAGGGACGGAGGAAAAAATGAGCTGACACCATGGGATAAGGCAGAAAGATGTTTTGAAAAGGATGATGGCAAGATATGTACAAATGTGCTTGACACAATAGATGTATGGATTGTTATAAGAGCTGTGAGAGCCCCCAATAACATGATTTTCTTAAAAAAAGAATTGGAGGTGGGGATTAGTGCCAAACCCAAATATCAAGACACATGGCATAAAACACAGTACTTTATATTTAAGGAACTGCCCTGCTGGGGCCCCTGGCCCCTGAAGAGAGCCTTTGTTGGCCCTATGAAAAGGTAGCCCCCTTTTCCCAGCCTTACGTGTACCCTCACGCATATTGCTGTCACAGTACTTTGAAGACTGTCCCACTGACTTGTTTCCCTATGCTGCCCCTTTGGTTAAAATATAAGCTTCTTGGGAGCAGAGGTTGTATATGATCCATTTCTCAGCGAAGGGTAAATTATTACTAAAAGAATGCCTAAGGTATTTTTTAATTCTAACCAGTTCTAGGACCGTAATAAACATTGTCCCCCTATACAAACCATCCTATATTACCTGGCTCACTGAGCTCTCTGCCTCTTGCTTGAAAATATGGACCAGATACTCGGCTGACTGGTTGACCCATAATCCATCCGGAGAAGTATGTTGGGCATCCAGGTTGAACTTGCTAGAAGCAGACACCATGACAGGGTATGAAGTGCAAGGTGTTTGGAGTTACTGGGGAGGTGGAATTGGCATTAGAAGCCAAACCACGTGCTACAGACCCCATAAACCTCATCCAGTGCAGCAGGTTGCACCGGAAACCTTGTGCTGCCTGTCTGAGGTTCTCTCTTTGGGCCATGTTGACCATTTATATTTATGCCCTGGCTTTCCTCAGTTACCAGTTGTCATCATCCCTGGAAGCACTTGATCAAAGGAACCCTTTCCAGTAGCTGAGGTCCATGTGAACCTCAAGGAGCGGAGAATTGAGGGCTATAGACTGAACATCCTGCACTGGGCAGCAAGTGCCTCCTGGCCTGCCACAGGCGTGTGACAGTGTGCTTGTGGTATCTCAGTGTATAGATAGCAGCATCTTTATTATAAAACCAGGTGTTAGGAGACAGGGTTCCAATTGTGGTCCTGTTACTGACCTTCTTGTGAAATCTTTTAGTCATTTTCCTTCTATGGGTCTCACTGTCACATCTGTTGACAGTCAGGTGGCGTCTATAATTCAGTGACTGTTATTCTATGCTCCATGGGGTTATTCTGATGCTGGGGTGCAATGAGGTCGGCTACGTGGTCTCGCCATACTTCTGCATGTCTGGTCTCCACCTGCCAGATTCGAGAGCTCCACAAGCAGCGAATGAAGGAGGTTGAAATGCTGGAGAGGCACATCATTCAGGCTCGGGCTCGGGCTCTGGCAGAGGAAGAATCGGCCGTGCACCAGGTAGCAGCACAGACTCGTGAGGGCTTGAACAACGTCAAGTTGCCTCCAGGTGTGAATGCCCTTCACCCTAATTCACCCTACTTCCCTAACTGTTAGTACTTTATTGTGCTTGCTCCATTGCCCGCCCTCTCAGATGTTTTCTGAACATCCGGAGAGTGAGTTGCAGCCACGACGTGTCATCACCACAAAACGCCAATGTGCCCGCTTCAAACAATGACCCTGCCCAGTTTAGTCAGCACACAGTCCTCCAAACCAGTACAGCGCACGTCCTATTCAGATGGCACCTCCTGTCTGTACCGTGCCACCTCCTCCTTTCTTGTCCTACCCAAGAATCATGTCACGCTTGGTTGTACTCTCTCTTTTTATAGATTCTTTCAATTGAAATAATTAGTCTCAATAGTTCTTGACAGGACTTGCATTCCCTAAGATGGTTCTGTCTAACGAGGCCACACTTTAGGCCTCATTAGACAGAACCATTTATGGAATGTAGCGAAGGCCACGCTTCCTTGGCAGAAGCACCACACCACATCAGGAGGCGCAAGTGTTAACCTTGGTCACTTAGTCATGCTGGTGTCTGCCATGGCTCTCCACATTAAATGACCGTCGCTGCTTTGTAATTCATCAGTGTTTCGGGGAGAGCTATTCTCAGATTACACACACCGCCACTGATCAACAGTCATTGACAACTCATTCACTTTTTTAGCAGTTTCATAGGCATATAGTGGCATATCATACAGTTTAGTAGTTGAATCATATTAAAAGACAACTCATTCCCTTAAAAAAAATCATTTTAGTGGGGGCTCTTGCAGCTCTTATAATATTCCATACATCAATTGTAAAGACAACTCATTCTTGAATCAATCCCTCTGTAATGACTGTAAAACTTTCTTCTATTTTTATCAGTGGCCTTTTTATCCTCTGGGCTTTCTCTTCATATTCACCTGTCTAACCATCCATCCATCCATCTATGGAAAGAATAGTGTCAGAAGGAGACAATGCATTTTTTTAGTGTGGCCTTTACATATGATATAAAGGTTTTCATCGTGTCCTTTGATTTTTCCAAGTTGAACCCTATTATAATAATTTGGCCAAGCTTCAAAATCCATAAATTCACACAAAATGGGAAATATTATTGTCTCACCTATATCCTTGGTTATCGAGAACTTCTCACAAGAAGGTCCATTTAAAACACCACATCTTAGGATAACATTGATTAATGTATCAAGCAACAAACTTTGAAAGCATCTAAGTCTTTCTCTATATCTCCTCTTAATTAAAAAATCAAAGTAATAAGTTAATCATATAATTTAGAAGACTTATAAAAAGCTTCCACCTCTTCTAGCTTCCATGCACTTGCCAAAGGTACCCCTAGTTTCAATTCTTCTGGATCCCTCTAAGTAATATGTCTTTGCTACTATGTCTTGGTTTATTATCCATAGACATTATCGTTGACTTCCCGTTTTATTGAATGAGGTGTTCTCTAATCTGTCTGTGGGTCAGTTGGAGGTAGATGGAGCCAGCTGGGCTTGGCTTGCTTCAAGCTATGGGTTTAGCTGAGCATGGCTTCTTGCTATAGGTTGGGTTCAAGTTTGCTCTGTGTGGATTTATGTTGAGATCCAAGGTGAATGAATAGCAGAACTCCCAATAGGAGCTATTTCCACGGCAATGGCAAAGATGCAAGAGGGGAAGATCAACAGTAGAACTCTACAAGCACATTTTAAACTCCAGCTGACATCTCATTGGCCAAAGGACATTGCATAGCCAAGCTCAAAGTCAAAGGTGAAGAAGTACACTTAGCCTCTATTAACAGGGACTGCAAAGTCACATGGCAAAGTGTGTGGATATAGGGAAAGGTGAAGAATTGAAATTAGTTAATCAACCACGCTTCCCTTAATTCTATTTGTTTAAGACTATTCTATAACAATGTAATAAATAATACCATGCACAGCCTTACCCATATTGTTAGCTTCTTTGAAGCGGCTGATAAATATTTGCTGAGTAGTTTCTTAAATCCTACTATCACCATGGATTTTGGAGACAGGATTGTGTTAGGTAGTTCAGGGTGTTCAGAGGATTAAGAACATTTGGGTACAGATTCTTTCAATCTGGCTTGAGACACCTTTATCCTGGTTTCCTCCTATGTAGTCAACTCTACCCTCAGATGGTGTGTGGACAATGAGTTGCTCCGGAAACATCATTTGATCTGCCCAGAAGATTACTACAGTGATACAGTGCCATTTTGCTCTGCGCCTAAAGGTAATACTCCCAGACTCTCCTAGAGCTTCTGATACTATTCCAGGAAAGTCCTTTGGTAGCAGGACCACATCTTTGCTGCTGCTTCCCTTTTTACAGGTACCCTCCCTCCCCCCTTGTGTCAGACTGGGTAGACTAGAGAAAAAAGTCCAGAGACATTCACATGTGTATAAGAAAGATTTATATACAAAAGCAATTAAATATCAAGAAAACATCCCAGCCCAGTCCAGATAAAGTTCATAAGTCCGATATTCGCCCATATGCCTGATACCGATCTATAAATTCCTCTTCAGACTCACGCAACATATGCAATGACACTGAATATAGGATGATCACAGGCCAGTGGGTGGAAAGCCTTTTAGATCTAGTGGCAGTAGAAGCATCTTAGTGCTAGCAGGGGTCTCCACGTGGCTCCTTCAGCTCCCGGGCTCTAGCGTAGCTCCATGTGTCTTGTCAACAGAAATGTCTCACAGAGTATGCGAGTGTCCCGCCTCCAGCGAGCTATTTATCTCCTTAGTGGCTCCAAATGAGGTCATCAAGCTACGACCTGATTGACAGATTAAACTCCACCCCTTCACTCTTAGCCTCAAGTGGACAACAGATTATATAACTACCACACCCCTACTTTCTTGAATTTTGATAATGACTACTGGGAAAGTCAAATCTGACCATATCACTTCCTCATTCATTCTCAATGCCTGCAAGAGGAAAGTGATAACTTCTCAGGGTGACACCCTCAGCCACTGCCCAGCACAAGGAGATGTGAAATACTTGAGAGCCACCAAAAGAACTAAGAGAGAAACTGAAGCCATAGATAGCCAAGGTAGCAAACCTCTTATTGAAAAAAGAAGATGGCATCAAAACATGGGCTAAGGGATTTGCCCATAGTGGAAATGATTAGCTTTGCATTCTTTAAGAGTGGAGGGAAGTAAAATCAATAGAGACCTTAACTGGATTCATAGTTTCCCAGAGTGATAGCAGGGGGTCTTGGGGGTCGGGTGGGGGGACCCAAATGGGGAGCTAATAGTAATGATAATGAGTACAAAAATGAAGATAATGTCCTAAACTTTATTGTAGTCATGATTGCACAACTCTACTTAATATATATAAGCCATTGAATTGTATGGCACGTGAATTAATGTATCAACAAAACTTTTAAAATTAATAAAAAGGGTGGAGGGAAGGATGAGTAAAGGGACAGAAAAGAGTGTCTAATGCAGATGACAATGGGCCCGTTTCCTGTGTATGGGAGGCAGGGTCTTTTGAGAATGAGAGGAGAAGGAATCTGTGTTGTGGACTTAAGAGAGGGGAGCGTTGGGGAGAGCCACCACATAGATGGGGAGAACAGACAAACATCTGTCGGGAGAGTCCCGCAGTGTCAAGCACAGAAGACAGGTCAGCCGGCTGTTCCAAGCTGTGGGGCTGCTCAATGGCCTCTGGAGCACTGGAACTGAGAAAAGCTTTGGGATGAGAGAATTGGGCTCTCGAGGATTGAACGTGCTGATGGGAACGGTATTCTAGTGATGAACTCAAGTGTATAGGAAACCAGGCCAGAAAGAGACTGCAGAATCAAGTGTCATGGGATACAACAACCCTTAGCATCTTAGTTGGAAACTCAGTATCTTGTGCAGGTCCAGAAGGAGGCAGTTGATATTTCTTGAGCCTCTGTGGGCCATTGCGCTCAGGTGTGCATGGAGGTCTCTGTTTTGTGCCACTCTTGCTAGCAATGACTAGCCTCAACCTTTTGGGGATGAATTTATAGATGTGAAAAGCTAGCACAAATTTCTATTTCTCGTGAACTTAAGCAGTGTCTACTGGTGGTATAGTGGTTACATGTTGGGTTGGTAACCACAAGGTCAGCAGTTCGAAACCACCATTACTCTATGGGAGAAAGATAAGGCTTTCTACTCCCATACAGAGTTACAGCCTCAAAAACCCAAAGGAGCAGTTCTACCCTGTCCTATAGAGTCACTATAAGTTGGCATCAATTTGATGGCAGTGATTTTGGTTTTTGGTCCAACACAGAGTGTGTTTATACATGTGTGTGTTTATACATGTGTGTGTTTGCTAACAATCTTTGATACTTTTTGACTGTGTTGAAAACTTGAACAAGTATTTTAACACTCTAGTCCTAAATCTTGGATACAAAGAATAAATTGCAGCCATACATCATGTCTGAAGACCAGCCACATCTGATGAAGTAAATGTGAACATTTAGGAGAAATTATCACGTTAACCGTGACGTCCGTGGTCTTACTATTCATCTTAGAAACGCCCATCTACCTCCTCACCTTGAAACACTAACTCAATTCCCCTTGGTGCCATAGGCAGCATCGTCCCTCGATATCAAAAAATGACATTTAGTTCCGAGCAGCATGCTGTCATAAATAAAGAGCTGGTCCAAAAACATGAACTTTTATGCAGACAGAAGATGGCTGATCTTGAAAAGTTAGACTTCAGTCTGGACAGCTTGACAGAGGACTCATCTCTGAAGGCCGAACCCAGGACCAAAGAAACCATCAAGGTGAGTCTTGAAGTCTGTAGGGACCAGGTGGTGGGAGAAGGAGTTCAAGGTGACATGGAGTTATGATGAAGCCACAGCACAATGGAAAGTCGGTTTTGCATTGGTGTCTGTGGGCCACGCAGGTGGTCAAGATGCCAACACACACACACACACACACACACACACACACACACACACACACACAGCCCCAGTCCCCTGCATTGGCATGACACTTGTCTTTGTGTGTTTCAAAGCAGGCAAGTCTACCCAAGAATCCCACTTGGATGAACCACCTGAGTGTGCCGCAGAGAGAACTGGAGCGGCGCCTGCTTGCCCGCATGGAGAGTCGGAATCACTTCCTTAAAAACCCTCGGTTTTTCCCTCCTAACACTCCACATGGAGGCAGGTCTCTTCTTTTCCCTCCAAAGAGGCCGGAAGGGAGAGGAGAGTGCCAGCGCATAGTGTCCGAACACAGGTGCGTCTTCCCTGACTTGTAGCTTTGGAAAATCTGACCCTTTAGAGTGAAAACCGGAAGTCCTGGGATTGGTGCACTTGTGGGGTCCCTAGACTATTGAGGGCAGGTGTTGTCCGTTGAAGAATGGAGCAGGGCCACCCACAGACACCTGTGCACATCTCCAACTCCACTGTCCTGAGTTTGTGCTTTCCTGACCTGCCAGGGCCTCAGGAAATAGAGGTTGGTCTTGACCCTTGGTTTACGTCCGATAGTCTGGTGAAACATGTGCTCCTTCCATTGGGTCCATATGTCTCCGGTAATGAAAAAGTTTGCAATTTGAGTAATTATATGTAAGTCATACAATAGATGATTTTAACAAAATGCCTTTGGCTCTATTTTAGTATTTGTCCTTATGAAAGGAAGGAGTTGTTTCATGGATTCATCATTTTGATGGACTTAAAACTATGAACACACCTTAATAGGCTGATAATATATGTTTCTTAAGAAAAATTAGACAGAACAATCAAATTGTATATGTGAACTCTATATCAATGAAACCATTAAAAAGAGAGAGATTGAAAAACACAGGTGTTCAAAAGGGAAAATTATGCTTTATTAAAAATCCAGTTACCATTTGGCGTTTAAACTTCCAGAGTTCTCCCCTGGGTATTGAAAATTAAATATATAGCTACACATGTTTGCAGAAAGATCGGCTCGTGCTGACATAATCATTTTGTAATGAGCTTTTTAAAAAAATCAACAAGTGACATTGTGACTATCTTTGCTGACCTGGATGTGTTTTTTATGGCATCTCAGCGGCTGGGTAAAATGAGTAGCCTCTCTCCTCCCTCTTTGTCCCACAGCTGTGCTGATACCCCCGTCTTTCTAGCCAAGCCATCAATTGGGTTTTTCACCGATTATGAAATTGGACCAGTTTATGAGGTAAACATTTTGTTTCTTTTTCTTTTTTATAAATCATTTTATTGGGGGCTCTTATAACAACCATACATCAATTGCATTTGTTTCTTTATGTTAAAAAATCTTTCTTATAGAATGCATTAAGCATACATGAAACTCAGAGCAAATCTATACATACAACTCAGGGAAAGTATAGTGAGCTCCTATCTGCTCCATCACCAAGCTCCAGATGTTCTCTGCACCAGCAGACCTTGTTTACCTGCTCTGTATACCCTTATGATTTCTTTATGGTGTGTCTGAGTGCACATGTGTGCATTGGGATGCTTTAAGGAAAATTCTAGACATCTTATTTTTCCTCAATCAATATATAACTAACCAACTCTAATAGATAAGAACTAAAAAAATAAACCTATGCATAATGCCATTATCGGATCCAGCAAGATTAACTGTGATTCTTCAATGTCATCTAATAAAATCCATTTTGGATTTTCCCCATTTGTTAAAGACATCTGGAGTAAAAAGCGACTGGAGTATATGAATGAAAATCTTTGAAATCATGTCATTTTTCAATTAATACTTCAGTAGGTATCACTAATCGATAGAACTTAAAAATATCATTATCGCATTCAATAATATTACCACTATGCATTAATACACATTTCATGTCTGATTTCCCCTTATATGATAAAAAAACAATCATTTTACAGTTGGTTTCTTTGATTCAAAATCCAAACAAAATCTACATATTGCACTTGATGAAAATACCTTTTAAGTTTCCTTAGCTGATAAATTCCTTCTGGCTTTTTAACAATGCTATTTATTAACTAAAATAAACTGTACTTTCTGACGTCCTCTATTCAGCTAATGGCATATGTAGTGGCCTTAAACACATTCCTTTAGCCAGTGAAGAGGTTTGATTAGATTCAGGTTCAGCTGGCTGTTGTTTTTTCAAGAATATTTATTTGTCAATACTGTGTATTTCTTTTTCCCTTTTAAATCATTTTACTGGGGGCTCATACAACTCTTATCACAATCCATCCATCCATCCATTGTGTCAAACACATATGTACATATGTTGCCATCATCATTCTCAAGCCATTTGCTTTCTACTTGAGCCCTTGGTATCAGCTCATTTTCCCCCTCCCTCCCTGCTCCCCCCTCCCCTATGGACCCTTGATAATTTATAAATTATTATTATTCTGTCATATCTTACACCATCCAATGTCTCCCTTCACCCACTTCTGCACTGTGATACCGTGTATTTCTTCCTGCATCCCAGTATAAGGAAGATTATAGTTGGTTTTCCCATTTTCATTGATGATGAAAAAAAAATGACGAGTGGCTTTAGGTGCTGGGAACCTGACTGATTCTTTATAAATTTCTTAGCATCCTTTTATGTAATGGCTTTACGTGGCTGTTGCCACATTGGTAGTTACATAATCTGTTGTCAATTTGAGACTTAAGAGTGAAGGGGTGGAGTTTAGCCTGTCAATCAGGTCGTAGCTTGACCTCATGTGTAACTGCTAAGGAGATAAATAGTTCACTGGAGGCGGGACACTTACTCCCTGCAAGACATTCCTGTTGAGAAGGCACGTGGATTTATGCTACAGCCCTGGAGCTGAAGGAACCACGTGGAGACCCCTGCCACATTGAGATGCTTCCACTGCCACTGGATCCACAAAGGCTTTCCACCTACTGCATTGGACATCATTGCATGTATTGCATGAGTCTGAAGAGGTATTTATAGATTGGTATCAGACATATGGGCTAATATCAGACTTACAGACTTGATCTGGATTGGGCTGGTATGTTTTCTCAATGTTCAATTGATTTTGTATAGAAAGCTCTTTCTTATACACATATGAGTGTCTATATTTGTTTCTCTAGTCTACCCAGACTAACACACCTAGGTCTCTTGCTTTCCGTAGAGAGCAAGAGTGATTGTCTTTGTAGAGAGACAAAATGGTGATTCCTAATTCTGTGTTTATAAGCCCTTCAGCATGTATTAGCTGTGATTTGTAAAATAACTCCTCTATTCTGGCCCATTCTTTCTGTACTCTCGTTTCCCCTTGAGGTAACAATTTCTACTAGTTTGAGTTCTTCCACAAATCACAGGCAAATATGTAGGTATATTTGAGGCCCCTCTGGTTCTTACTGTGAAGTGCACTTGCTTTTTCACCAATTAATACCCCCAGAGGCGGAAGTATATGGAGCCTTGGGTGTGCAATTAGAGTTATGCATCGGGCTGAGATCTGTGTGGTCGGTGGTTCAAAACCATGAGTAGCTTGACAGGAGAGTGACTGGGCTTTCCATTCTTGTGTGAACAGTTTCAGAAACGCACAGGGAGTCGCTATGAGATGCTTCCACTGCCACTGGATCCACAAAGGCTTTCCACCCACTGCATTGGACATCATTGCATGATTGCATTGACTTGATGGCAGTGAGTGAGAGATCTATAAAGTACATAGAGATTTTCCTCATTCCAAAAAGTAGATCAGAAGAAAAAAAAAAATCAGGATTTCCGTTTTTTTCCCCCTACCTTCCTTCTTATGCCACCTTGTTGGGGAATTCAATCAAGACTAAGCCTATCAGTCACCAAATCTGCTGACCATGACTAACCTCATGATGATAATCTCTTACACACATGGGATTCTATTTAAGGCTTAAATTGTACTTACATGCTCATAATTCTGTTAAGTCACTTACCACATTTGAAAAAGTGTTTGGTTTATTGCTTGTACCAAGCAGTATACTATTCTTTTTTTGACTTCCGTGCATAGCACTTTCTCTTCACACTTCAAGGAGAGTTGGAGAAACTGGCGAAGACATGAAGAAAGGGAGATGAAGGAATTTAAGTCAGAGGTGTAACAACAGGCCTCTGTTCACCTGGAACAAACAAGGAGGATGAGAGTCGGGGCTAGGAGTGTGTGGCTGATTGCCTCCATGGTCAGCTGCCTCCTTTCCCAGTAGACAAGAAGAATTCGATGTTGCTCAGCTACCATTACTGATCAGTTGTCACACTTGCGTTAGCATATACTTTACAGATCATCGAATTGAAATCGTTCAATCATATTAAAAAGGTTTGTTCAATCATCTCCACAAGCAATTTCAGAACATTTTCTTTTCGTAGTCATTGTTGTTAGCTCCACACGACTGAAGAGTCCATAGAAGAATCCTCATCACAATGGAGAAAATGCAGAAGGAAAATTCAAATTCTTATGGATTGTAGACTTTCTGGAGCCAGGGAGGGTGGGTAAGTCCCTGAAAGTGTAGCTCTAAGATAATCTTTAATTTGTAACCATGTTGGTCAAAAGTTCCTAAGGTAAGGATTTAATCTCTGATATAGAATCCTTATTGGATGTTAATTCAATGTGGGCTGTTTAAAAACATTTAAACCCTGAGAATCAAACTAGAAGAAAACAAAACTTAGGAGGATAATTCAGAAACAGAAAAAAAAAAAAGAAACATTGTTTAGAAACATTAAAGCTTTGCCCTTGATTAGTTTTCTTTCTTCTTTTCCAAAATACTTATCCAGAAACTGTAACATATCTTAGCTTTTGTGTAGACTTCATCTTGTTTCCCAATATTCCAGGGCACATTGCTTTTTAGACTTTTTCTAGACAGTAAGATGGAATTGTTAGTGACATTGAATTTCTGTGTTCATCTGACTGTAGCCTACAATGAATTGCTCTATTTGTTAATACTACTATTTTTCGCTCCTGAAGCCATCCCACATTTATCTACTGGGGATCTTACAAGTCCTTCCCAGTGCCCTCTTGCTACAAACTATCCATTTTCGATGTACTTTCTTGCATTTTAATTGTACAAGATGTTCCAGGCTTCTCTTGTGATTCCTCTGCCTCAGTTTGGAATCAGTCTCTAAGAAGCTCAGCTTCCCTTTAGTGGGGAAGGCTATTTAAAAATCAAGATTGAGCATTCGTTCTGCTCATTACCACTGGAGGTGTTAGTGCTGCGAGGCGTTCAGTGGACAGAGCTGAGGGTGTTTTCCTATAGCCTTTTCCAGTGCGAGCGATAGGTAGCCTTGAAGGCTGCCTCGGGGACCCAAGCCACGATATTTACATTATCTATCACCAATGGCACATCTGCTTGAGAAGGTTTTATTGCTGTTGTCTTCAGTTTTGGGTTGCCAATCCAAACATTCAAGTATATTCACGGGCAGTCTTGTTTTCTTTTGTACTTATGCCTATAATTACAACAGAATTCTATTGAGCTGCCTGCCAAGCCTACACATGCTCTGCTATGTTAATAGGACTCCCAAGGCTCTGCCACCTACACGTAACTACGCTGACTCTGGTCACAGCTGTGGTTGATTGGACTGAAAGAGGGTACATGAGCCAAGATAAACAAATTGAATATTCCCTTCAGTAAAGTTTGAATTTGAGCTGAGGGAGCATATATAGTTACAAGGGAGCCATACAATTACTGTTAGGCATTCCAAACTGAGAAACAGTGTGAACTACTGAAAACAAACAAACAAACAAAGCATCTCACTGCCATTGAGTGGACGCCCAATCCGAGGACAGGGTGGGACTGCCTCTGTGGGTTTTTGAGACTCTAACTCTTTACGGGAGTGTGAATTAGAGTGAAGGAATGTACGATGGGTCCTAAGCATGCCAACACATACAGAGTGCCCATGCAAGAAGGGCAGAGGGCAGGAGGGAGAAATAATAGGACTATGGATAAACGACTCGATTCTTGATAGTTAGCTCTTTCCTGCTCTAATGGTTTTATGCGACCTGACTACCTGCCTTTCTGCCCTTGGTTGTCATGAAATGCCTCGATTCCTTATAATTCTCCTGTTATTCCAATGAGCTCTGGTGTGTGTTTTAATAGTCTTATTAGCATGTACCTCACATATCATATGACCTAATTGTTCAGTCATATTAAGAAGAATTGTGCAAACAACAACCACAATCAGTTCAGGACGTTTTCTTCTCACCGTTGTTAGCTCCCCATCAGACAGAGAGCATTGTAAAGTCTATTATGGCAGATGTAGTTAGGTT